AGTTCAGGTTCCTTCTGAGTTTTCTTTTTTCCTTCTCCTGTTTTCGGATATATAATTTCATTGGTGGCTGCTGTTTATTACTCGTGATGCATCGGTTTTTTTGCTGAGAAAACGAATCTCCGATTTGAGGTCGAATTCTGTATTGAATCAGATTACATGTCTTCTTGTGTGAGATTATGAGGCTAATTGGATTATAAATGCTAAAAAAATTGCTGATGTTCTAGTTCAATTCGATTATACCCAGTTTTTAAAAGCGAAATGTTGAGCGTTCTGAGTTTCTGTAATCTATATGTAGAGATTGTGAGCTTTATGTGCGATTTAGGTTCCCTAATTCAGGTTCGATTACACATACACATTGTGATTCCATGATTTAATGTTTATGTTTACACAAATACAGAATTTATTTCACATTTCTGTATTGTTTTGTTTTTTTCTTGATTCAGGCAAAAATGCTTATATGTTGTGGAAGAAGGAAATGATTATCTACCATGAAGTTTTAGTATCAGTATCATCAGTTGTGTTTAGAAAACTGGGAGCAGCTCTTTTCCTCTCTGATCATTGACAAGTTTTGATCCCCCTTTTTTTTTTTTTTTATTAAAAGAAAAGGGGACATATAACTTGTGAGACTTGAGAATTTTGGTAATTGGATTCAGATCATGCCTTACTTTGCTCAGAGGCTTTACAATACTTGCAATTCGTCATTCTCTTCAGACGGACCAATATCAGAGGAGGCTCTGGAGAAAGTTCGTAATGTCTTGGGTATGATTATGAAAACATATTGTTAATTTTTTTGTTTCTTACTTGGTTTTTCCATTTCTCGCGTTTTCAAGTTTCTCGCATTGGTTATTTGTCTGATCATTGTTAGTCTTTTAGGGTGCTTTGTGATAATGACATTTCTATTCATTTTATGGCCCACAGCATGTCAAAAAGTTTATCTAATCATTCTGCAATTACCTTATATGATTGTATTAGTTAAGGTGTTGGTGGAAGTAATTTGTATATCTCATTCTACGTTTAGTTTTCTTGAATTCAGTGGTCCCCTGTTTCACTTACAGCCTTATTTGTAATTATTTTGTTTCAGAGAAAATCAAGCCATCTGATGTTGGAATCGAGCAGGAAGCTCAATTGGCACGGACCAGGTCTGGTCCTCTCAATGAACGTAATGGAAGCCAGTCTCCCCCTGCAATAAAGTATCTTCATTTGCATGAGTGTGACAGTTTCTCTGTAAGCATACTGATTTGAAGATTCTGTTGTTGATAGTCAAGATAGTCTGATATGGAGTTTGAAACTATTTAAGGAAAGGGTGCATCTTTTGCGATCTAATTTAGGATGACTTAGATAAAACTTAGCATAAGAGTCCCGTTTTAAGTGAACAACCTAGGTTTAAGTACTGATAGTCTTCCATGTTGTTAAAGCATGACTACTACGAGATAGTCAAATGTGGAGTTTAGAAACCTTAATAAAAGGGTAAACTTTTGTTATCTAATTGAGGAGGACTTAGATAGAGCGTAGTGTCCCATTTTATTTCCCTAGGAATGATTCTGTTTGGAGTATTATGGATAAAGCGAACTTTCAGTAGAGATAAAAGGTTAAAACGCTCTATAGAGACTAATAAGTTGATATTTAATATTCTCTTTTTCCGCATATTCAAAATTAGGGGAATAGGGGGGCATCAAAACATGGTCCTTAAGAGATTTCAGGAACCAATCATTCAAGACATGAGCCTGAAGTCTGCAAAAAAAAAAGCCTATGACAAATGATCTAGAAAGTATGAGTAAACACAGTTCGAGTCAATTCTGAGTCTGTATCTAGTCGGGGTTTAATCTTCCTCATACTGCCACCAATGATATACTCACTTGGTTCATTTTATCACTGTTGTCAAAACAGATAGGAATTTTCTGTATGCCACCTTCCTCTATGATCCCACTTCATAACCATCCGGGCATGACCGTGCTAAGCAAGCTCGTTTATGGTTCAATGCATGTGAAGTCATATGATTGGCTAGAGCCTGACCTTGCTGAACCAGAAGATCCATCACAAGGTATAACCCTCCTCCTTCCCTAGCTCTCAAATTTTAACCGATCACTTTTCTTGTCTAATTGTAAACACTTCATTCATAAGCAGCAAGACCCGCTAAACTGGTCAAGGATACTGTGATGACAGCTCCAAGCCCAGTAACCACATTATATCCGACAAGCGGTGGCAACATTCATTGTTTCAAAGCCATCACCCATTGTGCTATTATTGATATCTTAGCTCCACCATACTCTTCAGATCATGATCGGCATTGCACTTACTTCCAGAGATCCAGAAGAGAAGATTTACCCGGTAAATCACTAAGCTCCTGAAACACGATTATCTGCTAAAATTGCTAATAGTTAGGGGTGTTCCATCCAAATCGAATACCATCTTCGGAATTACTTAGTTTAGGGTTGATACTTTTCTAAAACCAAAAACCCGAACGAGAACCAAAACCTGGATTGAATGCCCATACCGAAAATCAATGTAGCCACTGTCCTTAAACTTGCTTGGCTTACCAGGTTTCCGGAATCTTTGGTATGATTTTGATTGTTTTTGCATTGTCATGTTGACAACTCTTCCTTGTGATCCCGGAACAGGTGAAATTGAAGTGGACGGGGAAGTAATCTCGGACGTGACTTGGCTTGAGGAATTTCAACCGCCCGATGACTTTGTGATACGACGAGTACCGTACAGAGGTCCTGTCATTAGAAGAACTTGATTTTACTGGTATCTATTTTTCTATCTTTATAGTTCTCTCACATAATTTGGGCGGGTTCGATCGGATTTCTATTATTTATTTTTAATCACTATTGCTTTCGGAAATAATCTATAAAATCTGGAGGGGTCTTTTATATTGCAAACGGGATTGTACATACTATAGTTTGTGATAAAATTGTCTCCGGTTTCATAGTATTGCAAAAAAAAAAAGATTTATAATGTCAGTGTCTTCTTCGCTAGTGGACCGTTAATGAGCATTATTTCCTCTATCTTTACAAGATCTTAATCTGACCTTGCTATAAATATGCATCTCAAAATCATAACTATACATATAACAACAAGGGACTCACCGGCATAAAAGTTGCCCGGATACGTTCAATTTATAAACCAAGTATGGATTGTTGATTAGGAAATCGGAATAAAGATCTTGGGGTGTGATTTTACTGTTTTCGAAAAGTAAGGGAAGAAAAACAAGTCTTCGACTTTTTTCCATGACCCACAATGCAAAATAGACCCAAAGATAATCAAATTCTGAAACCTCCGTAAGACCATCATCGTTTTCAACCACTCTACACTACATTGGCATCATAACGAATATACATTATAGTAACATATATTTTTGAAGTCCAAGCCCATCCATTATGTGTGTTTGTGCTCTTTGTCGACCTTGCTTCCACGGGTTTCTCACTCTCACTTCATTTGAATTTAATCCCTTGGGGAATAAATAACTATCGGTTACA